TTTTCAGCATTTCCAGTAACTGAGGCTGGAAACTGTATGCACCGCCATCATGTTTAAAATACCCATTCAGAGCGCTTCTGCATGGAAGCACCAGAATCTTTTTTTCTCGGAGATGGTCATACAGTTTTGAATCCTCGATACGCATTTGCATGCATTCATAAACCCATTTGGTTCCAGATGGTCCGCATCATGGTCTACGCTTAAAATACACGGGTTCTCTCAAAGACGCAGTTGTAAGTGATTTCTGAACTAAAGTATTGGCCGCTGCAGCTCGTCTGCTTCCGCCACCCGGCCACCCGCCGGACCGGGGCGTGGCGTGGCGGGTCCGAGCGAGCTTGGCATCAGCCGCGCCATAGGAGTTTCCGCCCCCTGCAATTACAAAACGCTAGTTATCTCCGTGCCAGGACGATTGCGCCCACTACTTCATAGCCGCAAAATGATCCCCTAGGGGTGCCCTAGTTCCCCACAAATTATTGACACATTGAGAAAACTCACCCTGTACAATTGACCCCCAATCTATAGATTGGGCTTCTCATCTGCAATAGTTTCAAAAAAAGCAACAACAATTTTTGGAACAAAGTTTTGAACAAAAAATTGTTGAACGGAATCATTATTCTAAGAATCTTATGCATTTTCATTGGTGTGCCCCAATAAAGCCCCTTTTCGAATCATCGGAGAGCACCCATTATCAGCATTGCGAAATGCTGAACTTTCACTCATCCTGATTCGTTAAACTGCGTGATGGAGTCGACATGAACTGTGTCGATGTTCGTTTCACGTGACGGGCTGAGAGTCCCTTAGGACTTTTTATTTTTGTCCCCTCAATCGACTAATGCGGGCTTCGATCGACGCGATGCTCGCTGGGCCTCGCCACAGACCCACCCCTCTTTACTTTCCAGCACGGTCGAAGCACTGCCAGAAGCTTCATTCATTACGACAGACGCGACCAACGGGTGAGCGGAGGTGGGCGTATTCCACAGGTAAAAATCGTGACGAGTGCATTCTTATGAATCCGAGAGGATTAAGGGCGCAGTAGCTCTTCGTGCACGTTTTTTCTATCTTTTTTTTCGACTTTTCTGTTTGGATCTCGATAAAAAAGACTTGCATGAATGCAAGAAACAAACGGCGGTGATATAAAAGATCAGACTTTTTACAACAATTTAAAAAAAAATGTTTTAGCAGTTAAAAAAGGCGTTTTTATGAAGCACGGGAAAAGGTCTGAAAGATTAAACCTGGTGTCACTGCGCGCACGATTGCAGCTAAAGTTTTCAACATTTTTTGCAAAGTGCGTCTGAAAAAGCAAAAGTTGCCCACAAAATGAACCTCGGGGGTTCAAATCGGACGGAAGACGCTGGTAAAAAAGGCACACTTTTCACAAGTTTTCCATTGAACGAATTGTTTTTGTCCGATACTAAATATGTAGTAGTATTTCTCTTCCGATATTAACCCCCGTAGTTCATTTTGTGGGCAATTTTATGCTCTTTTTTATGCATTTTACTGGTTGAAAAAAAGTTGAAAACTTTGGCTGAAATCGTGCGTGCAGTGACACCAAGTATGATTTTGCAGACCTCTTACATCCCTCACTATAAATGCCTCCCTTAATGCTAAAACCATTTTTTTTGTTTTTTTAAATTGTTGCAAAATGTTTGATTTTTTTTACATTGTTACCGCCGTTCGTCTCTAGCATTCATGCAAGTCTTTCTTATTTAGGTGCAAACAAACAATAAACAAAAAAATTAAAAAGCGTGCACAAAGTGCTACTACCCTTCGTACTACCCCCTTAAAAGTCGCCATCACATGTTCCACCATGTCTGTTTTCGCCTAAGGTTTGTATGTCATTCTAAAAAAGTAAGAACCGTGTCGTTGAATGGCAAGAACGTTCGTAATTCATCCGACAGTGTGACCCCAGTGTGACCTTTACATTCGTTTTTTATTACCTTTCTGTTGGCTGCAGCTTGGGGTGCAACCTGAAAGTGTCCATTGAAATTATATAACAGGAAAAGTAGCGATATACATCGGCAACTTTGGCCCGTCCCGTACATTTAGAAATGTGTGAATTTCGCTAATGTTTAACCCTAACGGGATTTGAACCTCAGTGTGGGGTCCAAATTTATGTTATTTTCGTCATCAGCACCTTTAAAAACATCAGAAACAATGCAAAAACTCGAGTAAAAAGAATGTTGAAAATATACCCCACTGGGATTTGACCCCGGGTCCAAACTTCTCCAATTCACTTGAAACTGGCACCGTTGGTTTTTTTCTCGTCGCCCTGATTCCAAAAATACCCCTACATGTCCTGCTAGCTGTATCCGTTGCCGAAATCCCCTTCGACCCCATGTAGACCATGATGCACCTGCAGCAGCGCCCCCGGGGCTCGGATCGGATTTGCTGCCACCGGGCGGTTCTTAGGGTCACCCAAGGAGGCTGCATACCAAATTTGGTCAAGATCGGACCACGGGAAGTCCTCGGACGAACGGACGGACGGACGGACGGACGGACGGACGGACGCACAGCAGGGATCATACTATATGCCCGTCCCTCCGTCATTTTTTTACAAAAAATAAACGGGACGGGCCAAAAACTGCTTATCGAATAAATACATTCCAAGCATGTGAGAAACACGTACCACTAGTGTGTTATTAATTTGTTGGAGAGGTCCATTACTATGAGGAGCAACCGTCTGGCTTGGCAAGTGATTCTGGTTGTCAAATTTTGTGAACTGTGAATAGCAAGAGGCTTTGATATAGGTTTGGGTACAATCTGAAAGTGTCCATTCAAATGACAGATTAATAGTGCACATTAAAAAATATACATTTTAACAGCGGGACAACGCATACCATCAACGTGCTATTAATTTGTTTCAGAGGACCATTACTATGCGAAACAACCGTCTGGCCTGGCAGGTGTACATTCTGCATGATTCTCGGTATGCCCTTGTTGGCTTGTTGCCCATAATGGCTTATGCTGTTGCAGACA